GCTCCCAATCCTTTTGGTGGTGAAATTTTTGACTGATTTTTCCACTATTCGATGTCCACTGCCATCGTCTACAACTTTTTCATTTCTAGGCTTTCAAAGTTACAAGAAAAATGCCGGAAAACGTTTTGACCCCGTTCTAATTGCCCCAGATGCCTCTAATGAAAATTGTGAAATCATCATCGTTGAAAGATCTGTTTTATATGCACAATTGAATATATATAAACTGCGTCAGTGTATGAAGACATCTGTCGGTCTTAATACTATATTTTGTGTAACTCCTCTGGGTGCCTCTGAAAGAGCAAGAACAAGGAATGAACGTTTGTAAAGGGAGAACCCTAGTCATCGATTCTTATAAAGGAATCAGGCAAGAATCTTACTGGAAAGTTATATGGATTCTATAAGATCCAGGTACGAATCTTCTTTCTTATGAACATGTTATCTGGAAAAGCTGGTCCGCATGTTAACGTAAGAGGAGAAGAATGTTTTTCGTTTTTCTATGGTGACACCTTGGTTCTAGAAAGGTAGCTTCATGACACGACCCGTTCTAAGCCTCTACTGCTTGGTGACTGGGCGTGCTCTTCAGTGCAGGATGGGAACAAAGTTCGAAAAAATTAAGTTACATACGAAGCAACTAGAGAGCACGATATATCGCATGATGCATAAATTTCGCTTTTTCAAACTGATCTGTAACTGAGAAGTAAAAATTTTCAATTCGGATTGTCAGCAATCCATCATTCAACTTCGCGCCATCTTTAATTCGACCGATACATTTGCAATGTACACTGACAAGTGCGCCGATTTCCTCACTGAGGTTAAGGCTGAAAAGGCTTCCCTGACTGTGTCAGGTATTCTCGGTCAACAGTTCGTACCTCTCCTCCATGACTGAAAATAGAGGAGCAAATGTGGTTGGAAAGCAAGTGTCGTTGGGGAGCAAATGTCGCGGGAGCAACAACCAAGGAAGTAACTGTCGCGGGAGCAACGATCAGGGAAGCAACTGTCGCAAGGGAGCAAATGTCGTGGATTCCTATAAAACTACGGAAAAAAACCGTATAAAAACGTGAATTAGATAATTGGTTAGTGTAAGAGAACTATGGACTCTAATAAGGTAAAGATAGTTTTGAAATATTTATGTCGACAGACGTTATGTGTTTTTGATACGAAAAATGTTTTTTTTTCTTTGGTCGCTGTTTTGTGTGTTGTGCATGCGCATGCGAAAAAAATGTTGAAGATTAAAAAAACTGTATACCATGAAAATTTTATTTTCGACTTCAAAAAGACAATGGTTACATAGAGAGAAAACTAATTTTTTTCCATTCATCTTTTCATTATAAACATATCTAGTGGTAGATTTGTAGCGTAAAATTCCATTATCGCAAGTGATATAGCATACAAATGTTGTAAAATCGAACTTCGAATTTCGAAATTTTTTTAGCGAATTTATTGTTTTATAACAATTTATTTGTACAATATTGGTCATGTTCCTTGAAAAGGGAAATAAAAGTTTTCGAAATGCTCGATTAAATAAAATTAAAACGAATACAGCCGCTGTTATGCATTAAAACTACAAAAAAGATTGAACCGAAAATTTACGCGTATGATTAACAAAAAATAGAAACCGATGAGTAAAAATAATTCAGTTTAAGTTACTACTTGTGTCTGTCATGCGTTTAGCAGTTTTTCGGATAATGAAAAATTTTTTAGTAAAACTGAGAACAGATTTCACTTTCTTCCAAACTAGGGATCACCAAATCGGATTACCAGATGTTTTCCTGAACATAGGAGTAACTATGCACGCGCGCTGACAAAAATAGTTCTTCTTTATAAATTTTCTCTATATATTTATATTCTATAGCAACTCTCATTTTCACTTTTCTCTGAAATATCCCCAAAGTAAAGCTTTAGTTGAAAAATATTCTTAAAATATAAATCAAACATCAACATAGATGATTCTCATTCTCTAAATCAATTTATTATTTCAAAACATAGTGTTGTAACAATAAAAACTACAACAAAATAAATAAATAATGGCTAATTATATCATTGATAATTAAAATTAGAAAAATGGGCTCTTTTGTTACTGAAACATCATACAAAACTCAACAACAACAGCAACGTCTAATAGTGACATCAGAAGAATTTGAATTTCAACGACGTGGTTTTAAATTAGGTTCTTTACTCGGTGAAGGATCATATGCCAAAGTAAAAACAGCATTTAGTGAACGGTTAAATAGAAAAATAGCTATCAAGGTATAATTAGACAAAAATGACTAAATCAGTACAACTTCACTTCTGCATATTGTTTTTTTGTCACTTATATCTCAAACAATTCTGAAAGACTTTTCAGATGTACTGAAAAATTCGGTGTATGCTTCGATGTAGAAGTACTTCGAATAGAACATCTATAGCTGAAGCAGGTTGATCAAAAGCATGCCACTATTACATCGATTCTTTGCGCAAGTATCCAGCCTCATTAGATTTTACAGTATTCATTAAGTTCGATCGATCTGTACAAGTTGTGGATCTGTTAATGATGTATGTTTCGAGGAAATCACTTTTTACTTTTATTAACGTACTGACATCGCTGCTCTCCATATATTTTTGATTCTTCAGCCGACATTGGACAATTTTAGCTGATAATATGAACATCGACATTTTTATCGAACAAAACTTTCTTGCACAGATCTATCGAGTAAATTGATGCTATATCTACTAATTTCATACTTGGCTTTAATGCATCTTTCACTAACGATAAAGAATATTAATAAATATGGTTTTCATTTTTCAGATTGTAAATCGAAGAAAAGCACCAATCGATTTTCAACAACGATTTTTACCACGAGAATTGAGTATATTACAAAATTTAGATCATCCACACATCATTAAGCTATATGAAATTTTCAATCATGGTCATAAGGTATTGAAAGAAATTTATTATTCACATAAAATCATACTGGAATTTCTTTTCTACTCTCAAGGTGTATATGATTTTGGAGCTAGCCGGACATGGTAAATGAAAATATTAACGTTTTAATCACTTTATATTCTTCGATTTTACATTCAAGGTGATTTACTCGATTATATCAAATTATTTGGTCGATTACCAGAAGATCGTGCAAGGAAAATGTTTCAACAGCTGGTATCAGCAATCGAATATTTACATAATTTAAAGATTGTTCATAGGTTAGATGAAAATATCTTCACCATTTCTATTTCAATGTCACCATGTTTTTCTTTTTCCTATAGAGATCTTAAATGTGAAAATATTTTACTTGACTCTAAAAATGATATTAAAGTATCGGATTTTGGATTTTCTCGATTGATGTTAGAAAAAGATTTATCATCCACATTTTGTGGTTCAGCATCTTATGCTGCACCCGAAGTACTCAAAGGCACGCCGTATATTGGCCCACCTTATGATTGCTGGAGTCTAGGTGTTGTTCTATATATTATGGTGTATGGAACAATGCCATTTGATGATTCAAATGTTCGAAAATTAATACGTGATCAACTTGAAAAACGAATACATTTTAGTCGACGAAAAGCTATAACAGATGAATGTAAACAATTAATTTTATTATTATTGGAACCGAATGTGAAACAACGAGGAACCGTAGAACAAATATGGCAAACAGATTGGATTAATAATATCATTCAGCCAATATCGGCGAGAACATCAATCACGTACGAAGGAGAATTAAATAAACGAATGACACCACCAAAACCAGGAAAAGTAAAGAGTGATTAAAGTGAGGATGATGATGAGTACTTGTTACTTCTACATTGTAGTTAATGAAAGAGAATAGTGTTGGAATCACTTATTTAGCCGAATATGCGACATTAAAACGTTCAACGGATATAATAATGGCAGGCATACCACCATATTCTTCGGAATAGTAAAACGGATCAAATCTTGACATAACGAAATAATAGCTCTCTAAATGCTAAAAAACAAGTTGAGTTATCTAAACGTATCTTTTATATCATAGTTCGACTTTTTAGACAAAAAGCGGTGCAATAACTGTCGATTATTTTAGTGTATTTAACAAAATAATTCTTGTAGACGCCACATAAACTAAACATTTACTTTAAAAAAGCGTAAATCTTAGAAAACTATACAAACTTATACAAATTGTCCGAAACAATTTTTGAATTCCTTGCACGCTTCGGATTAACTGATTCGAAAGTTTTAGGCATAAATAACTTGAAGTTTAGCGACAAGAAGATGCTTGAGATTTTTTTTTTCAAAAAATTATTAGCTTTTTGTACTGGCACACAGTGGACAATGATACAAACTTTTTGTCAAAAGTGGAAGTGCTTGTATTTTAATTTCCGATAGTGGACTATTTAGTTTGATTCTTCGCACATCTGTTCCCATGAAAAAAGTTTCATTGCCACTTTCTGAACACTGCGAAAACTCATTCGAGAAAAAGCATCTAAAAACCGCCAAAAGCCATTCGATTTTAATTCTTCACAGATTAACGATTGTATGTGATAAAAATGAGTTGTATTATAACTCTTTTTTTTTTGCTTAATGATGAAAAAGTATTCCAGTTTAAATTTAAGAGTATAGGGAAAATCAGTATTTCTCACGCTAAAAAGATTTTCCAAAATTAACTGTTCAGTATGATACCCACTTTTCCCCAGCTTTCAATAGTGCATGGACAAACCCTCTTCTCAGTATACTATAACTATAAAATTAACGTTTCAATGCATGTTTGTTCCTAGACCTCACGGTAAGTGTTCTAGAAACCCAAAATGTTTCATGTAATATGCATTTTCTCATTTAAAACAGGATTTTTAATCAAAATCAATAGCATATCTAAAATCAACTCGCCAAGATGTATCTAATCATGTAAGAAACATTTTCTTAAAACAGGAATTTTTTTTGAGAATGTTAGTTTTTCGTTCATGAGATATTGTGCTAACGTGAGAACGACTATGATCCGTAGATAAAAATTTATTTGCAAAAAATTCAGATCATAGACGAAAACTGTTCATTGTATGATAATGGTAGGATGGATAGTACCCCAATTAAAGATACAAACTTGCTTCAATGTGGGTACGAAAAGCTTTGTAGATTCATGATAATCATGCTACAGTACCACACGTATTGATTTATGTTTGTCTGCGCATTTTGTTATTTCAGTTCATTCTCTGAAGGATGAACACATTAGAAGACCTCCCTTGAACTCATATTGTAAAAGTTAGAATAAAAGTTAGAATAAAAGACCCCCTCCTATTTTTCACATTTTTACTTGTAAGTCAAAAGTCATTGTTACCGAAACTGTTCCTTATAAAAGCTAAACTAGACTTCCCACAAAGCACATAAACGACATTTTTGGAAAGAGAAATCTAATGTTTTACTCCACGGTATGGGAACCGATTTTGCAACGGCTATAAAAAACAGTCTAGAACGTTATCAAGTATCCATATAAAATCTCAATAAACACTGATTTTTGACAAAATTATTTATCGTGCATGTTACAAGCAAAGACAATCAACTGACAAGTGTGACAATAGATAAAATATTGGTGAGTAGTCATCTTTTTGAGTTTGTTCAGCATATTCTGCATTCATTTCGTTTAAAGTTCGGCCGTTTCGATCACTTAAGTGGATTTTTGATGAAAATGTATCGGATTGCTTAGTGAAATCTATATATCGATGGAAAAAAGAGAAAATGATAGAATAGAAAACTACAAAGAGAATATTTCAAACAAAAAAACTCTATTTTATTGCATGAATTTGGATGGTAAATTATATTAGAAAAATTTCTGGAGAAACATACCAAATAGAATCAGTTTATAATAATTTACTATGACGATCCTTACAGCATTTCTCATCACCATTGAAAACCAACAGATCCAATGTTTGAACTTATTTCAATACTCTGTTTTCGTGCTTTTCTAAAGAAGAATAAGTGAACAGAGATCTATGCGTCTACTAAAACGTCCTATATGGTGAATAAGAATCTTTTCAGGTAACCAAGAAAGAGTTGCTTGCTTCCTAATAATTGATAATAATTTAGGAACAACGAAATGTATAAAATGAACTCTTCTAGTAATGATAAAATTTTAACTTAACGAATTCCTTTTGTGTTTTTCAGTATCTCTCTTTCAAATGTTTTTCAATATATGATTTGGCAAATGTCTCGACATTACCTCATTATCTGTGTTAAGGTCAACTCATTGAGAAAGAAAACAATGTACTCTTTAAAAATATTCTGTCTTTGTTGTCGTGTGCCGTGAATGGAGAATCGTTCTTCAGCAAGTGCTTCAGCAATAAAAAAAGCCTATTGGCGTCTATTACCAATATTATTTATTTGTTATGTCATTGCCTATGTTGATCGTAATAATGTGGCATTAGCAAAATTAAAAATGATCGATGATCTACCATCGTTTACACGAAATACTGAGACAATTTTTAGTTTGGGACAAGCAGCATTTTTCGTTGGATATCTTCTACTAGAAATACCAGGCACACTGATGGTAGAAAAATGGAGTGCACGAAAATGGATTTGTCGAATCATGGTTACATGGGGTATTATTGCCTCACTAACAGCCGTCGTCAAAAAGCCATGGCATTTCTATTTACTTCGTTTTCTGCTCGGTTTAGGTGAGGCAGGATTTTTTCCAGGTGTCATTGTTTATTTGACACATTGGTTTCCGAGTAGAGCACGAGCACGAGCTCTAGCATGGTTTATGATTGCTACGCCCATTGCTCAAGTGGTTAGTCCAAAACTGTCGTACTACATGTTAAGAATAGGCACGAATGAAACAGTGAATGGACAAGTGATCGTACATTCGAAACTACTCAATTTAAAAGGTTGGCAATGGATGTATATTATTTGGGGATTACCAGCAGTTTTACTAGGATTTGTTGTATTCTTCCTACTAACTGACCGACCACAAGATGCAAAATGGCTGACAAAAGAACAAAGCGAAGCACTAGAAACAGAACTTGCGACTGAGAGATTGAATCGAAAAGCAGTTGCTGGCGGTCATATGGTAGTTTTTAAAGCATTATTAAATCCGAAGGTTCTACTATTATCCGTGGCCTATTTTTTCATAGTCACAGGAAACTATGGAATCGAAATATTTTTACCGACAATTCTGAAGAATTGGTATCGTTTGAGCGATAGTCTATTGACATGGGTTCTCATGATACCTCCATTTGGATCACTCATAGGTCAACTGTTCATCGGTTGGAGTTCAGATCGAACAAAGGAGCGTCGATTGCACACAGCTATTCCAATTATCATTGGTTCTACAGCATTAGGTCTCACATTGATCCGAAACCAACCTCTGGCCTCGATGATCCTTCTCTTTACAGCTACTGGAGTGGGTACTAAAGCATATTTACCAGCATTTTGGTCTCTCCCTAGTTTATTTCTTACAGAATCAGCAGCAGCCGGATCTATTGGACTAATAAATTCTGTGGGAAACTTGGGTGGTGCGGTCGGTCCGTTATTGCTCGGAGTTTTAAAAGATCGAACAGGTTCTTTTCTACCTGGTATACTATTTCTAACAATTTCTATGGGTCTCTCAGCGGCAGTCATCATTATGTTACGGTTCAATCGTGGAGGTTCTAACCAAAAAAAGAATATTAGCGATGGAGTAGACAGTAGGATCGAGTCGACAGACCTTTAAAATTTAGATGTTGTAATTTCAGTAGTTGAGATCGAACTCGAACAGTGAAATCTTGTAAGGACTAGCTTATCTTCGATATTTTTTTGTAAACTTATTTTATAGTTGAAATTAATCATCATTTTGTTTTCAAAACTAAAGAAGTGTTGAGTTATTTTAATGCGAATTGTTGGAAAGAACGGTGGTTGTAATTTACAGATACAAAACGAGGAAAGAGTATTTCAGATGTCTAAATAGATCTCACTGAACATAGTCTACCACTATATGCGATGTATAATGGAAAGCGTTTCGTAATTGTATTAAACGAGAAGTCTGACTGTAGTTGTAGATCTGTTCTTATACGGATCTGAAATCTGAAGCGCAATAAAATTCCGTTACTTAAGCTATATTAGTCGGTTAGAAGCTTATTCTATTCAGAGACAAAGAGAATTTAAGAAGAAAGAACATGCTGTCCAGAAATGAATGAATGCTGGGTATCGTTAGGTATTGTTTACCAACTCAATTTTGCTAATAAATTAATTCTTTCTCTATCATTTTTTATTTCAATTGTGGCGGGATCAACGTTGTGATAATGAAACAAAAAACCAATTGTCATTCAGCAACGTTAGTATCAATATTTATTTTATTATGTCTCAATTACAACAACCGATAAACATTTATTTATCCTTGATTATTTGATACTTTCGAAGCCAAGTTTAACAGGCTCGCTAATAGATAAACTAGTAAACGATCTTTTCTCTCTGACTAAAGCTCGAATTTCGCTGTTAATAAGGAAATGTTCATGGACTACTAATCAGTTTTATACTTGTAGACTTAAAACTTGAATTTTTCTTGAACTAATGATGTACTTTTTTTTGTCCTATCCAATCACTTTAAGTTTTTTTTGATTTTTCACGTCGAAAAATTTCGAAATATATATCATTCAATTCAGCTTTTATTGCTGCTTCTAAATATTCTATTTTTATTGCATCAAAGTTAACTTCTGATGGAGAAAACTGAGAAGTACTGACAGAATGCCGAGTTTTTCCTCCTAATTTAGAAAAAATAGATTTTCTCAATGACAAAGCAAAATAAAAAAAAGCAATCTATATTTCTAAAGCTCGTTTAATGGCGGTTCTAACGAAGTAAAACAATCGGCTTTCATCTCTTCACAAAAGAAACTAAATAGGTTTGCAAAATTCTTTAGGAACTTTTTACAGGGTATGTCCAAGACGTCTATACTGGATGAAACCTCGATCAAGCATCATCCTCCTCCGCTATTTTTAATGCTGAACCTGAAAAGAATACTGTCAAAAAGTTAGACGAACCAAGTAGAAAAAAGCTTTTTTGAAACTGAAAGATTTTTCAAAATTTTAGATCTTTCGAATTTTTTCAAGTTTCTTACTTAAAAACAGATTTTAAAAATTAAAAAACAGATTTTCTTACTCAGGTCGATGTGCTCTATTCAACTATGTATAAATATCTCAAAAAGAAATTCTGCTGAAATTTTGCATTACCAGCATCTTAGTAAATAATACTATTAACCGCGGTTGCACTGTTCGATTTTTGGATGAAATTTTTGATGAAGTAATAGATGATTGCCAATTGAGAATCTATTAACGTTAAAAATAAATGAAAGTTTAATGTCTCACTGATGTTCCTGTTGCCCTCGTATTTAATAGGAATGATGAGGCAAAGGAAAAAGACAGACATCTTGCTACAAAATGAGCCTTCTCCAGCACTGTTCAACGCAAAGAACTTACGCTAATTTTGTCAGAACTGTTGTTACTGTAAAACTTTTACTCGCGAACGTGGTCTAGAAGATTGTGTGAAAATATGACCTTCTGTAGCTTTCATTTTTCTAAATCGTGTAGAAGCGGATAAGGTCTCATTTTGTAGCAAAATGTGTGGTCTATTAGAAGACGTAGTTCAATAAAATCTAAAGTATTGTCATGAGTCCGACGATTTTTTACAAACCAAGTTTTTCGAGAGAGATCTTTACTTCAATTATCTCTTCTTAGTTCTTCTACCATTCATACGGAAGATTTGATCTTATGATTTGATCTTATGATTATAAAGTTAAACTGTGGATAGTTAGACAAGTTGAATACCGCAAGTTTATGCTCATTTTGCATAGCATATGCTAAAGATACATGCAAGTGCCACTTACACAGTGGGTATTCAATCGGTCATTAGACGAAAAAGCTAAAATGTACTTTTTGCAGATTAAAATAGTAGGAAACATACATTAGTATATAGTACTCATCGTCAAAAACTAACCGCTAATCTATTTCTCATCCCAGGACATTTTCAGAATAAAAACTAAGGCCAAATTCGGAATCAGCGCGTAGAATTGCATGAAACAATGTATAATACAATAAGTTTTAGATCGAATAACTATCCATCAAAATGTTTTCCCATGAACCTGTAAGATCGATTTTTTCGAAAAAGTCATTTTTGCTGAAAACATTGATTTTTTCTTTCAGAACATCAGTAATGACTAAGACATGATAACTATGCACGAGAAAAAAATTCTAATGTCCGTCTTCTATTAGAAAATTGTGCACTGTGATCCGAGTATCAAGATTCACAGGCTAGTCTATACGAATCGAACTTGAATTATTCTAGAAGATATGCTATTTATTAAAAGTATGTGATGAACATTCGGAAAAAGTTGCTTGTGGAAGAAGAAATAGTTTTACATTTGTTTTAATATTTTTGCCTTTCATTTTCGACTAAATTCACATTTATACTTCACTTGTCATTTAGGAATAGGTCTAAAATGGAATGAACTTTGAAAAGTATTTCCAATTCTTTGGATAAAAGCAATTCTTTAGATATAACCATCATGATAATAAAATCAATTGATTTCATTTTAAGTTAATTAAAATCAATAGTATTCATAGTTTGCATGTATTTGAATTAGTTTCAAGTTGAGAATAATTGTATTTAAATTGATAATCCAAATACTGATACTATACAATACATGCTTTTGTTCTCCCATCTAAAAGAAAATATATGCAAACTGACGTTCTATTACAAAAGAAAATATTTCATCTATATCATCCCTGACTGTACATGATCCATCGGTTGAATTATCCCAAAAACAACTCGAAGCTGTATGTAAACCAGCACCATTCTTTTGCATAATAACACACGAGACAATATATTTAAATGGCTTATTTAATTTTGTTAACGAATTTAGAATGGCTTCAACAATATTTGATGTCCACGTATTTATTTTTGCTTGTTGATATGATTGTGAGCCGATTGTCACTTCGATACTCTCTTTAATTATATTACTAACTTCATCGACGATAAATGCAACCTCATTGGCATCATCCATTGTTATCAGAAGTAATAGTTCTTAAGAAAGAGTAGGATTTGAAATCGAATTAACTGCGCGTCTCTCTCTCTCTCTTTCTGTAAATTTGATTAATTAAAATTTCGCGCCTGAAGTCCCTCTCCTTAGAACCGAATTTCTAGATAAACTGTACAATATTTACGAAATTCGTAGCAAATTTTAGTCCTACTAAGATATGTGCACGATAAAAATTTCAGCACGAAATCTTGAGTTTTGCCGAAGCTATGTCACCCAGGTGCAAGGATCGAAACATAGGTCCCGGTATTTATTAAGTCTAGTAAGCTCGAATCAGTCTTAAATTAAGCAAAAAACTCAGCATAAAAACGTAGCAAAGGGCTAGTTTTTTAAATTTTCGTTCCTTATTCTTTCCCAATATTTTATCAAGAAAATCAGAAGAATTTTATGAGTTAGTTTAACGAAAAAGCTTTTTTCCTCAACAATTGCGACGAAAATAAAAGTCAGGCTCTGCATGATCACGGTGCTGAATTTTTTTCCTTAATATAAGACAATCAAAGTTTTCTAGGACTTGAAACAGACGAGAAAGTTGAAAATGACGATAACTATAAGCTAAAAAAAGCGATTTTGCTATAAACTTTTGAAGTTTGTTATTGATCATTTCAACATGAAACTTTCGTTACTTTTCCGGTTCAAACATTATTAAAATGTTGATTCTTCTTTGTTATGACACAAAACAATAATTATTAATTCATCAATAATTTAAAATTCAGCACTTTAACTTCTTTATAAGCGTGTTAGTGATCAATGCCATTTTTATTGCTCACTTATTCGTATCTTTGTTTGAATATTGTCTCACAAATAGTACATACAAAAAGAAACTGATTATTCTGTGAAATATCATCGAAATCGTTAATCGGTATGAGTAGTATTATTATGGTTCTGAAAGTTCAATTATAGATATCTTCATATATTCTCCAATTTTGAATTTTTCAATCATTATAAAAATTGCGTTTCCGCTTCCCAAAACAATATTTTATCCTTTTTGATTTTTTCTGCAAAATGTTTACATGATTATATTTTATTCTTTCTTCTCCATTAAACATATATTTTCTACCATATTTACTGTAGGTTGTGGCAGCTTTAATTTTCTATACGTTGTTAGATGATCTTTTTGTAAAGGCCATTGATGCACATATGTTGCCATACATGTGATACTGAGTAAAACATTGTTGCTAAGCATTCTTTTTACTCTTTTTTTGTTAAATTCTGATAAAAAAAAAAATGAGTAGAAGAAAAGAAAAAAAAAAGTAAAATAAGCTACAATACATCTCTCTCTTTCTCTCTTTACATATATATATATATATATTGTTCTCATAACTAAAGAGAGGTATTAGATCTATAAAATTCTTCTAAAACATGAACATAGAATAAGAAAAACGAACGATTACCACAGACACAAAATATCTTGACCATATCGCAATTCAAAGTAAACATCAGTGTCGATAGATGAACGAACAACGACGTTGATGATGATGTCAATATGATGTCTAAGGTTACATTTTGTAGTTTAACCTTAAAATTTTAGTTACTAAACATATTTTTCTCCTCTTTTTTTTTTCATTCTTTTTCGAACAACAGACAACAAAAATAGATATTTTGTGATCGCTTGTCTATGCTTAGTATCATTTACTTAATATAAAAGTATAGCTCTAGACCACACACATTTTTAAAAAAAAGAAAAGAATTTTGATCATAAACAAAACGAAATAACAACAATCACACAGGTAATCTTCATGTCAATCATACTTTTTTCTTTCTTCTTGTATTCATTTACACCTGCGATCATTTCAAATACAGCAAGTAAATAATTACACATACCGTGGTCGAAGAGGTAAGAGGATATTAGAACGACATGTCAGTATGTGTTCGTCATGATAGTAAACGGATGATTAACAGTGTAACAACTAGAAGGATAGTGGAATATACAAAACTAGATGATGATGTCATTCATTTGACTCAAAACGTGCAAAAGAATTTGTTGAATGACTGAAAATAGAAAATGCCGATGAGCAACGACTTAGCACTGCTGTATAAAGAAACGTTTTCAGCTCTTTTTGAACAGTAGAAATAGAATCAAGTTAATAAACGTTTCTCATAGTGATTCTTGTCTTGTTTTTCATGAACTGTCTAATTAAGAATTTACTTTAGTAACGCAATGAGAAGACCTTTTTCTTGAACAAACGAAAAACTCTCGATTTTCTAAAAGATTGCTTGTATACGAAATAAGTAGATTTCAACATTTTGTTTCATTTTTGAAATATGAATAATTTTCAAACAGTGCACACTTCAAGTTTCTACAAAAATAATTATAAAATCGTTCGTAAATCATAATATGTAGACCAAGTATTTAGAGAAAAAAAAAACAACAGAAGGCATAAAAAGGTGAAAAAAATATTTTGATGTAAACATGTTGCCAGTCTGTACGTGACACGTTTTTTTAAGATGAATGAAACACAACTTTTTATACAGTCATATGTAGTAAACGTATTTTTCTTGCGTAAATGATTTCTTAAAAAAAACACAAGGTATCAAATAGTACTCGACATTGTTGTCACTTAAGCGATATAATAGTAGATTACTCCTGAACAAACAGTTTGGCCGCATATTCTTCGTTTTCCACCTTTTCTCCAAAAAAAAAACCAATTCACTACACAGTTTAACATATATCAAGGTCGAAGTGATGTGAGTCCACCAACTTCTTCTCTTGTGTGTACGTTTGTATCACCATCCCTTTCTAGCATTTATTTAAAAGAAAAATTATCCATTCTTAAATCTAGAACATGATCATCATACTTGATAGTTTTAGAGTGTTTCTTTCTTAGTAGAAAAAATAAAATATAGTGTACGACTGATAATTTGACTCTCAAACACGTCTTCTTTCAAAATGAGTGAGCAGTTTTATTGATGCCGTAAGGCAAGTAGTAGATAGTCTCTTTGACAATATACTACTTTATCGTGAACACTTCGATTTATTATCATCTAATTTTTATTACTTGCAGATAAAAATCATCTCACGTAAAATATGGATGATATTAATGAAACAAGCTTTGTTGTTGATGAAGTATCAAATGTAATTAAAGAGAGTATTGAAGTGACAATCGGCTCACAATCATATCAACAAGCAAAAATAAATACGTGGACATCAAATATTGTTGAAGCCATTCTAAATTCGTTAACAAAATTAAATAAGCCATTTAAATATATTGTCT